ATATTTAATATATATACACACACATTTTATACTTTACATTTTATAATATATATGCAGTTAGATAATATTTTTTTATATATGATACAAAAACATATAAAAGCTCATCCAGGAGCTTTTACAGCGGGGGCCTGCCACAGTGCTGTGGGTTGAAACAGCACTCGCTGCCTCTTAGGCATGAGTAGTGAGTCCTTTAGCCTTCACAGCACAGCAGATCCCATCTGCAAACACCGCTTCGCCTGTGGGAGCTTACTGCCTTTCTGCATGGTCTCCCTGCCCCTCCTGGCTCCTCCAGCATATGCTGTTTTCCTCTCATTATAAGATTTCCATGGCTGAGCTTATCTGGGTGGTACAGTCAGTACAAAATGGCCATTCATCCAGCCCCCAGGCAGAGATGGGAATGCGTTCGATTCCGCATGGAGCACAGTGGGGTTGTGCACTTTAATATATAGGGAACGTGAAGCATTGGTCCTCTGGAAGAGTCCCATATCAGTGGTTTATGAGCTCAAAGCCTGTCTGTCTCAAAGAACAGCTGTACATTCTGCTGTGAGCACTCACAGAGCTGCCTGTGCTCAGAGCCTGTGTTCAGGAATGACGTGCCTGTGGTTAGCACAGCACAAAGCCCAGCTGCTCTGCAAAGAGTTAGTCCCAGTATTTTTTGGGCCACGTCTCCTGTTGTGGCAGAGCCAGGCTGCAATTGCCTCGCAGGTATTCCAGACACAGGGCTGCCATGCAGTAAGTCTGAGAGTAAAACAAAGGTGTATCTCATCATTCAGAGATTATCAAGGGCTTCCCCACACTAGAAATCTATGAAATGTAGATGTGGTGCTTAGGGACATGGTTTACTGGTGGAATCGACAGTGTTAGGTCAATGGTTGCGCTCAATGATCTTTCCAGCCCAAATGATTCAATGATTCTAAGAAGCTTTTGTTTTTGCAGACCCTATTTTCAAAAGCACCAGGTACAAGCCCTGGTGCTCTCCATAGAAACCAAACATACCTGTACCAGTACAGGTTTTCATTCAGGACACTCACTGTATCACTTCAGGCATTTGAGCGTCAGCAATAGGCACACTTTGTTTCTATATCACTGCTTACAGTGTATTGCAAGAGCACTGGTTCAGAAGTAGCATCATTGATTTCTTCTAATTATAAATCCTATAGAAAGTTTTAAGCTTGCAACAGTCCCAGTTTTGCTCTCAGTGGAGCCAATAAATGTGAAGAGTTGCTCCCAGGTTACTGTCATCACAGCAATAAAAAGCCAATGTAATTGAAAAGTGAATCAGGGAAACTGTCAGATTGGGGAGCAATGATAATAGAAGAAACTACCTGAGAGCCTAAGCCCAATGCAAAGTCTTGTCACTGGCTGCACGGAGCTGGAGCTCATTCTGAACTCACTCCTGTGCTGGTACATATCTAACAGAGGACACGTCTCCTGTGTGAAAATACCAGAGCATAGAGCAAAGCAGGAGCAATGACCATATGCTTGCCAACAGGTCAAGCACTCAGTGGATGAGCCAGCAAAGACGATTTTGAACCCCATTCGAGACAGTTCCTCTTCCTAAAAGGCAAAATTACAACGGAACTATAACACAATAATTTCTCCCTATAGTAGCATAAAGCTTAAAAACAAGAGTTGGAAACGCAGCAGCAGATGCATATTTGTCAAGGGAACAATTATTTCCTACTAGGTAGATTAATTGGTGCAAGAAGACCCAAGCCCCCACAAGTCATTACTGTTTCCTCATTGTTAAGATCAGATAAGCATGGTTGTGTTTGTAATCCAGATAGCTTGAAGCAAAGCAACAAGTAGCATCACAGAAGACTCTGAAAAAGCTTGCTAGTGTCAATACTGGTATAGAGGGAGACTAGGAAAGACTTCTGAGAGGGAGAGGAAAGAAGCAGCATATGTCAGCATTGGCAATGGTATGTACTGAGGTGAGTTTTCACACCTGTAGCTCTGGAGGCTGGCATGAAGGAGGAGGAAGCTGATCTGGAGATGTTGTTCTTCCAACACAGTCATCTTGGGACATAGGGAAGCAGATACTGAAGAAGTCAACTGCCTTTTACTCTCTGTAAGGACAGGATGCATGCACCATATCAGAGGTCCCTTGTCCTCAGATCACTGCCCACGTAAAGTCTGTGAGCACTTCTACTAATTAAGTCTTAAGGAGGCTCTCACTTCCCTGCAAGCATCCTCTAAAAAGGATGCAAGTAAGGAGCAGATCTTGGGGACAATGCTCTGGGCTGTGAAGCACTCACAGGGGTATACATCCACCTGGTGCTGGGTGAACACAGGTTTTGAACAGCCTCTAGAAAGACTGTTCCCTGGAGGTGGAGAAAGCTAACTCATAAACTACAGCACAAAAAGTTTCTATTGGCCTCAGAGAAGTGTCCCTGAGCCAAGAACAGGAAGTAAACTCCAACACAGGTTGAACATCACACTCTGATGAGATTGGAATGGGGTAACTACATGCAGACAGGCTGCTCCTGTTGCTATGATGTAACCTCTAGGATGAAATTATGGGTTTGGCATATGGGTGCACTCAGGAAGATGCTGGGGCTCAAGTTCAGGTTTGAGTTTCTCCAAGACAAAGACACCAATGGAGTGCAGGATTGGGTGGTAGGTGGGACGTCATTGCTTTTACCTCCATGGTGCCGGTGTGCGATCAGTACTCCAGGGAGCAGATTTGGAAGGATGCAAACCCTGGGCAGCCTCAAGGCACTCTGCAAACCTCCAATAACACCGCTGTGAGGCAACTATATGCATTAACCCCCATTTCCACACCTCTAGTTGCCAAGAGAAACGCTTTTCATAATGATGCAGGTTGTGAAGTACACAGCTGCTCGATTTTTATTTGCTCTTTTAGCATTAAAGCAAGGAGAATATGGGTGCTGAGATTTCCTCATGCACAACAAAGCAGGCTGGAAATCTGTGACTAAATACCGGGGATTTGCAATCCAGCTTTGAACTGTGCAACAAGGAGCCACTGGTGACAATTGTGCGCTCACTGTATTTAGCTGGGCAATGTGAACACTGAATCACTGAGGAACAAGGACAGCAGCAAAACCACCAAACCCACCAGGCTTGCTTTTCAGATAACTCATTTGGGACAAAGACAGGAATTCTGTCTTTTGCCCCTGCCATCCACTTTCCTACACATTTTCTGAACCAGGTTTTTGCTTGCTGCAGGAGATAACCACATAGAACTGTAGAAATCAGTGCTATAAATGGATAAATATGTATGAATGTGTGCGAATCTGCCTGTTCACACACATACGCATAAATAATTCAGGGTCCAGATCGAATTGAAGTGCACTTAGTTTTCCTAGTTAACCATTTTGAGGATTAATGATTTTGCATCTATGCAATACGCAGCCATGGTGAGGGAAGACAACCTTAGGTTACACACCAAGCAGCTCAGAACTGATAAGGTTTGTCCTGTTGTTGTGAGGCTGGTGGGAAAAGAGTGGTAAATTCTTGCTGCATTATTTCCAAAATGCTGGGTGTGCAATCTGACCTCATGCTCTTGGTTGTAGAAGTGGGCACAAGCTTGTGTCACCTTTGCTTCACCACAGTATTAAGCCAGAGGTGTTTGGCCTTCTGGGGTTTCTTGAAGGTGGGTTGTTTAGAGGAGGGCTTACAGATCCTGGTGCTTGCCTGTTTGTTGTAGGCAAGCCTGTGGTTTGGGCTGTAAGGGCTGAGATTTTAAGGTGCTGTTTAGAGGAGGATAATCTGCAGCACAGTAGAAGACTCAGGGTGACTTGGAGCGTTACCATCCTTCTTTACTGACTGCACTGGAGGCTCAGGGAGACTCATCTCCTCACCTGGTGCTGCAAGTCAGCCAACGTGAATGCCCTCTTTTCTGTACCTTTGAGCAGATATTAATACCACAACTGTTGCACATGTGTAAAGTTCCTCTGCTGCAAAATACTCATTTCTATATATGCTGCAGGAACCATCTGGTTTTAATATCTGGTGTGTGTAAGAATAACATTTACCTACATGATCTGCAGCAGAATCAGCTAAAAGGGAAATGTTTTCTGGTTGTGCTTGCCACCCAGGACCAACTGGAGAGTTACAAGGTAAAAAAAGGTGCAGAGACAAGGTTGGGGCTCATGGCAAGGTGTGAGAGCTGCCAGTGGAATCTCTCAGGGTTTTATCTCTGTTGGGATGGCCAGAACTGATACCAGATTGCTGCACCTCCAGCCTGGAAAACCAGTCCTGGCATAGGGCTCTGTTTCTCTACTGCTCTACCAGCATTAAGTAAGCTGGCAAGAGCTCTAGCAACATCCATTTCCAGCATTCACACCATCAGTGTTAAATGAACCCAAAAGAGCAAAATTTGCAAAGTTATATTGAGGTGTTGAAATGAGGTTGAAAAAAACCCATGAGCAGGGAGCTGCAAAAAGCCCACATGCCTGTTCCTCCAAGTACCATCCCTGCGGTGGCTGAGTCTAACTCTGTTCTTCCCACAGTTTGACATGCAGAGGATAACACTGGAAGAGCTGAAACACATCCTCTACCACGCCTTCCGGGACCACTTAACAATGAAGGACATCGAGAACATCATTATCAATGAAGAGGAGAGTTTAAATGAAAACTCTGGCAACTGCCAGACAGAGTTTGAAGGTGAGAGGGAAAGTTTCTGTGTTTCTGTACAATTCTCTTTCTGCTTTGCCTGTAAAACTCTCTGATCTGAGACATGCAAAGGGAAGGGATGCATGGAGTTACTTTAGAGTAAGTAGCAATGACACACTTAGACTATTCAAAGGCTGCCCTTAACCTTCTTCCATGTGGTCTAAGTAAAGCTGATCCTGTTTCAGGCAGGAGGATGAACTAGTGGGTGCCTTATGGCTCTCCTTCCTCTGATGGGATTCAGGCAGAGGGGTGTGCAGCCCATGCTGAGGTCAATATCTAAGACAGACTGAATTTCCCTACAGAAATACATATATCTCAGCACACCATGGAAAGCTTTTATTTGTACTGAGTCCTGCCCTAGCAAGCTGTGTTAGGCTCCACCAGTTTTCTGTTGTCTTCCCATAAACAGAAAAGATCTTCTGCTCTGGAGTCCCAGGGAATAGCTGGGGAGAGTCCGCTCTCTGCACTGTAACACCAGCTGTGAATAGAGGTGGTGTATCTGCACCCTGCTGCCCTAGCACCTCTTGTTCAGCACTGTTGAGACCGCTGGTGTGGAGCTGCAATATGCTACGCAGGCACACCCCAGGACAGCTCATCTCAGTGTGTCTGAGAGTGTCTGCAAGATCAAGGTCTAAGCAACCCTCAGAAGTAGCTAGAGAAAGGAAAATGTTTGCTTTACACAGCATCCTCTCAGCAGTGCAACAAGACCACTAAGTAATCAGCAACTGTGATCAGAAACAGCCTCAACTTTTACAGTGGATTTTGCACTCTGAATGGAGTGAACACTGGCAAGAACATTCCCCATTTTCAGCCGCTTCAGAAGAAGCATTTTCTTGGCTAGAGGAGTTTGTGCTGCTCCAAATCATTGCTGGTTTGATCAGCTAAACATACAAATCATCTCAAGTTGTCCCTTACAACCCAAACCATTCTATCACTAGAAGGTTGGAGACTTGATGCGGAAAAAAAATGTGAAGGATTTCGCTTTACTGAGCCTCAAGAAGGGAAGGCTGAGGAGAATCAGGGATGCATGTCCCATCCCTGGCAGTGTTCAAGGCCAGGTTGGACACAGGGGCTTGGAGCAACCTGCTCTAGCGGAAGATGTCCCTGCCCATGGCAGAGGGTTGGAACTGGATGAGCTCTAAGGTGTCTTCTAACCCAGACTAGTCTGTGATTCTGGAAAAGTCCAAGGGGATACGTAATGGAGAACTTCAGGGTTTCTGCACATCGGCCTGGGACAGCTTCTGTGCTTTCCCCACACACAGCAATGCCACTTTGTATAGGCCGTTTCAGGGGAAATTCTGATACCCTGCAGGATCAAATAGCCTCTGAAAGAGCACCATGCAGAGACACTGAAGCGTTGTTAAAACAAAGGATAAACAGTGCAATTCTTCGCTTGGCTAATCAATGGGATTCAGCAGCTCTACCCAGCACACTCACCCTCTGCTAAATACTGCAGAAAAGAGATAGAAGAGCTGAATGTTAAAAAGCCTGCAGGAGGGAGGCAAGCAGCATCACTCTCTGAATCCAGCCAAGCAGGGATTGTTCCTCCTGGAGAGCAGCAGGGAGGAAGAGAGGCTTTACTTACATGAATGGAGTTGTTAATCCCCACTGACCCCCTGATTCAGTGAAGGCATGAGCCAGCTGTCATCACAGCAAGAGGCATGCAGGCTTCTTTCAGCTTCACTACTTGGGTGAACCATTATTCCAGTCACAAAAGAAAAAATGGGTCTGAAAACCTAAATGCTCAGAATCTCATTCTGGAAGTCCCAGCTTCCAAAAGTACAGCAAGAACAGCTTTTCTCGTGGGATGTTGGCATTGCTGGTGCTAGGCAGAACCTAGAAGCAAAACAGACCCTTTTTTTAGATGTTAGAAATACACACACACACGCACAAATCCACCAGAGAATAAAGATGAACTGAACACTGCCAGCAAAGATGCAAAGTTTTGCCTCAGGTCCCAGAAGAAGGGGACAGTTCTGGTCCATGGCAGCTCTGACATGAGCATTTCTCCCAGGAAAGGCAGGCTGAGAGCAGGTTCTGTCCCTGCAGCTCTCCAGGCTGGACATGCCTTTACCTGAATGACACACTTGTGCCTTGAGCCTTCCCATTTCCCAAACACCAAGATCCCTATAGGGCTCCGAAGCAGAAATTATAGCACCTCATGACATAGATCAATGGCACCAAGGGAGAGCTGTCATGAAGGTTGGACAGCATCTCAGTCTAGCTTTAAATGGCTGTATAGAACTGTCTCCATGTAAGTCAGTTACCCTTTACTTATTTCTTAATTAGTGGAGTGAAAAAGATGCTTTTTGGGTATAATTCCTTGAGCTTATTTTAGGTGCTACCTCGGGATAAGATGAATTGCACCTTAAAAAGCACCTATTTCTTTCAATTCTAAATGTAGCCTAAAGGAACCAGTTTAAAGGCTCACATCTATATTTAATGTACATTTCACACATCCCACTGGAAGCACCTTTAACTATGGGTAGGAATGAAGCCAGGATGAGCCCTGATGCTTTTCACTCAGATTTGGGAATGACTCCTAAGGGAAGAGACTGAACAGATGATACATTCAGTAGTCCTGTGCTGAAATGGGGGATCTTCACTCACTGTCACCTCTGGGCATGTTCTTGCCATCAAAGAGAAGCCCCTAGACTCTTCTCTGTCCTGTGGACAGAGATATCCTTCCTTCTCCACACCTGGGGTTAAGTGGCTCAGCCCTGCACGGGCAGATTTCTGTCATTCTCACAAATTTGCCATTTTGGCTTCTTGTCATAAGGTTTTTACAACTATATATATGCCCTTCCTATATCAACACAGATGATAATACCTTTTATCTCTCTCCCACACTCATACACACACAGCCATACACACGCTTTAACCGAAATACAACATTTATATTATGGCCAGGAACAAGGGCAGGATTTTGTTCAGTTCACTCTAGACATTAGAGTTATTTTCAAGACATCGAGTTTAGGCTTACATTACAACTTCCCCTCGTAGATCATAGAATCACAGAATGGTTTGGGTTGGAGAGAACCCTAAGATTGTCTATTTTTTAGGGCAGGATAATGAAGTTGAGAGCCAAGAAGAGTGTACTTTTTTAAGAAAAGAGATACAAGTAAAGGAAAAAGGTTTGCAGCGACATTGTACAACCAAAAATTCCTAGTACAAAAATTATTTGTCTGGCAGTTCCCTTTATCCAAACACTCATGACATTAAGCTGGTGGCAATCAAGAGTGCTGGCTGGTTACAGTGACCCGTGCTGTCTGCTATGGGTATTTCATCAGCCCCGACACTCTGATTAACTGGATGTACAAGAGCTGCTGCCACAGCTCCCCTCCCTGCTCTCCCAGACAAGCACTAGGAGCATCTGCTCCTCAGCTAAGGGCTTGGAAATGAAAAACTGCCCACTTAAAATGAAAATAACTCCAGGCAGCCAGAGAAAGCAAACATCACTCACCTTTGGCAGGGTTATGACAGAAGCCACTATAAATACACTGCAGCTGTTCATGTTAGCAAAGCCTTTTTCTGCAGGTAAGAAGGCTGTTAGTGCTTATCCTTGACCATCTCAAACCCACAATGGGCATCATGAGCAGCCCAGCAGCCAGTGGACTGGTGAACCCTGAAATGGGATGGACCCTTTAACCTCATGGTGAAGAAGTTACAGTGAAGGTAGCTCTGCTCTGCCACTAGTGACACCATGCTGAGTCCTCCCTGCCAGCCTGTCCTTTGCATTTTGAGAAGATGAAGGATGACCCAGCCCCAATTTGCCTTTGCTTCTTGAGATACCATTTACATGAGGCCTGTGAGTTGCTTTCCCCACTAAGAAAGGGCCAGGACATCCCCAGAGGAGCTTCAGGCTCTGACCATGTTTAAGGAACCAGCTCATGTCCAAACCCCAGCGTGTCCCATGGGCATTAAAAACTCCTGCTGGCAACCAAATGCAAAAGAGATTGAGCATCCAGCAATGCCAGCAATGGAAATGATCTGGAGAAAGCACAAAGGACTTATGAACTTGGAGAAAGGAGAGAAGTGAGAACAAAAACTCACCAGTTAGCAGGGAGGGCAAGTGGTTCTTCATATTTAAGAGGGCAAATCACAGGGCAGCATGTACTTGTGTTCACAGCAAAGAAAGTCAGTAATTTCAGCTTCTTTGTCTCCCTGTGGATTGCTAGAGGACAGACAAACTATAACACTCATCATCTTGCTGGAGTAATTCGTGCTGAGCCCCAGCCAGCAACAAGAGGGTTTCTCTCTCTCTGGGTTTGCAACACCTCTACATTTCAGCACTGACCTTTCCATTTCTTCTGAAGTTATTTGATAGGTTATTTGGCTATTCGGTGTACCTTCAGTTGGTAAAGAACAATAATGATGATTTACCTGGATCCTGCTGCCTTAAAGCTCTATTTTTACTTGATGCTATAACAACAGCCTGAAGAAATTGTTCAAGTCGGGAACACTTCTACAAGAAA